TTCTGATAAATTATCTCCAGTAGCCAAACTTACTTATATCTATTTATTTACCTCTATTGCAGCCTCTCGAAACTGGCTCTTACACCAGCTGGACATTAAAAATGCATTTTTTAATAGTGATATCTTAAAAGAAGTGTATATAGAACAATCATTTAGATTTGTTACTCAATAAGAGTACGAGAAAATTTGTCAGTTGAAGAAATTTTTATATAGTTTGAAGCAAAATCTCTATGCGTGGTTTGGCAAGTTTAATGAAGTAATCTATGAATGTAGATTGAAAAAGAGCAAGTGCGATCATTCGGTTTTGTATAAACATCAACAGCTGGTATTATACTTCTTATTATTCATGTTAATGATATTATAATTATAAGAGATGATCATGTAGGAATATCCTCTCTCAAGTAATTCTTGCTTACCAAATTTCATATAAAAGATTTAATACAGCTAAAATATTTCTTGGGGTTGAAGTAATAAGAAGTAAGGAAGAGATTTTGTTATCTCATAAGAAGTATGTACTTGATCTACTTGTAGAAAAAGAAAAACTGGGAGCTAAGTCATGCAATATACCAATAGCATCAAATATACATTTTATAAACAATGATGGTGATCCCCTTGATGATTCAGAAAAATACAGGTGATTAGTGAGAAAATTAAACTAGTTCATTGTGACTCGTTCAAATATTGCATATCATGTCAGTGTTGCGAATCATAAAAAAGTGCTCCAGGACTTGATATAGTATTTAGAAATCATGAGCATACTCACATTGAATGTTTTACAGATATCGATTGGGTTGGATCTAACATTGATAAGAGGTTTACTACAAGCTATTGTGTTTTTGTTGATGGGAATCTCGTATCATGAAAAAAGAAAAAACAAATAGTTGTATCTCGCTCAAGCGTAGAGACTGAATATAGAGTTATGGCTCAGTACACATGTGAAGTCTTATAGATACATCATCCTTTAGATGAAGTGCGTTTGAATCTCACATCTCCTACAAAACTCTGGTGCAATAGTCAGGCTGTCATTCATATTACTTCAAATCCGGTGTATCATGAGAGAACCAAACATATTGAGATTAATTGTCATTTCATCCAAGAGAAAATTCAGAAAAACTATATCTACCAGTTTATGTAAAGAAATGAGAACAACTTAATATATATTCACAAAACCTCTGAATGGAACATGAACTGAGTATCTTCGAAACAAACTGAGCATGATTAATATCTATACTCCAGTTTGAGGGAGAGTATTAGAATATTATAAAATAATATTTGCACATAATAGTATGATTACCTTTCTAAATATATTAGCGTAATTAGGAAGAAAATTTATAAGATAATTTTGATTGGTTACCATATATGAATTCATCTGTATGTATATATACCCCTACCTATTTGAATAAAATACAAGAAATATTCGATATTTTTTCTAACTATTTATAATAGAAAAAGAAGATTTTATTAAGAGTAGATAAGAAAAATGCAGCAAAGGAGAATGAGACATCCTCCTAAAAGAAATAAGAGAAATAAGATCAAAACAAAACCCAACAAGAAAAACAAAAGAAGAAAAGGAAAGAAAAAAGAGACAGAAAGAGGGGTTAGTTGTCAAGACTAATGAATAATGATTTCCCAGTTGCATTGAAGACCAGAGATGCTAATATCCTGGTAGCATCCATGCCTTTTAGTCCATAGGGACACAAGGAAGAGCACCCTATCCGACAGCTCGAAATAAGAAGTGCTTCTATTATTAAAAACTTAAGTTGGGAGCAAGCCAAATGCACCATAAACCAGCAAATAGAGCACCTTGCCACGAAGGCTTGGCAACCTTCCTCAGACCATTTTCATTCAAATACATGGAGAAAAAACTTTCCACTGCGCAAGCAACACCCAAACAGCTCCAAACAACTTGAACAAATCTGTCCATAACTTCCAAGCCAACATTGCAGTGGATAAATAAGTAGTCATGTGTTTCTCCACCATTAAAGCGCATAGCACATATATCAGGAGATAGAGACTGATATGGAGGACGAATTTAGAGCAAAATCATTAGTGTCCAGCTTTTGGTGAATAGCTGTCCGTACAAAGAGCTTCACCTTAGATGGAGTCGGAGCCTTCCAAAAACCCTTGGGATTTAAATCTAGCGTGTCTTCTTAATAGTGTCATTGTGAGAGGCAAGAGGAGAGGGATTTATAAGGTACTCAGAAAGGGATTTGCAAGTAAAGAGTCCTGATGATTCCATGTTCCATAGTCTAAGGTCAAGTTTTGTGGATGGTGTAATAGGGACAAAGAGATCCCAAAAGCTAACATGTCCAGAGTCTCCCTATCAGAAATATTGCAGGAAAAGTGGAAATTCCAGTACGTCCCATCCTTAGTATGAATTAGAAATTCCAGTATGTCCCATCCTTAGTATGAACTAAAAATTGAGAAAAAGGAGCTTGATGTTTGAATAAGATGCTGTATAATCTGGGAAATTGCACAGCTGATGGTTGATTACCCAATTATATATCCTCCCAGAAACTCAAAGTGGAGCCATCTCCATTTGAAAAGTGAAGATGTGGCAGAAAAGAAGGATGGGCCAGTGAGATGGCTTTCCAGGTACTGCAATGGGAAACATACCTTATAGCGTAGGCATTCTCACACCCCTTTCACTCCCGTGGATGTCTTTGATTACCCTATGCCACAAAGAGTCTGGTTCCCTAGGGAATCACCATAGCCATTTAGTTAATAATGACAAACTTTATAATTTAGGATTCCCAATCCATAGCCTCCCAATTTCTTCAATTTACAACACTCTTCCCAATTAACTAAGCGATCTTTAAAGTCATCTCCTTCCCCTGACCAATGAAGTCTCCTCATGTTCCCTTAATACTCTCTGTTACCCTAGCCAAAATCCTAAAGAGAGACAGAGTATAGTGAGATATTGAAAAGGCAAGTCTCTCTCAGAGTAACTTTATGCCCCAAAGTGAACAGACCCCCTTTCTAACTCTCAAGGCAGTTAGCTTTGATTATACCCTTTCTCCAAAAAGATGTGGTCCTCGAATTCCCCCCAGGGAACACCAAGGTAAATAACAGGTCACTGTAGCTTACAGCATCCAATCTCTCTCACTAGCTCCTCAACTATTGCATCATCCATGTTTATCCCAATAAGCTCACTCTTACTCAGATTTATCTTTAAGCCCAAAATAATCTCAAAAAACTAAGAGTTAGGACCCGAGGCAGGGACAAATCATCTTGACTCAAGAAGAGGATGGAGTCATCAACAAATTGCAGATGTGAGATTTCTACTCCATCCTTTCCAGACTTTCAAACCATTCACACATCTTCGTCTTTCTGCTGATAAAGTCATACCATTCAGTACATCCACAACAATGGTGAATAGAAAAGGGGAAAGCGGGTCGTTTTGCCTCAAACCTCAGATGTCTTAACCTACTCCTGAGGTTCCCATTCACAATTACTGAGAAACAGGTAGAGGACAAACAACCTTATACCACCTCCTCCATCTTGACCCTAGCCCCTTTTCCTCCATAACCCTATCCAAGAATCTCAAGCTCACACGATCATATGCCTTCTCAAGATTGAGTTTAAGCACCAAACTTTTTCTTTTTGATTTCCTAGTATATTCCACTACCTCATGGCTACTAAAAGTGCATCTAAAATTTGTCTGCCACCCATAAAGCACTTTGATTACAGGTTATAGTAACATGAAGTGGCTCACTAAGCATGCCGGAAAGTACCTTTGCAATGATGTAGTTCCCTTTAGCCCTAAAACATCTACTAAAAGAGCCTCTTTACCTCTTTTAGCACTATTTTACTGATTTGAATATTTATAGAATCTCCAAGGACAAGAAAAATCTAAATGAGCTCGCTTTTGAGGTGAGGCAAAAAAGCAGCAAAACAATAAAATAAACAGTCTTGCATAACCAAGACACAGCATAGAATGGAGTGGAATTAACAAAACCATATTGTTATATGTAAATACAAAAATGCAGTTGTCCTAAATATATCACAAATGATGAGAATGAGCACAATGAGCATAAAATAAAGCTACAAGGTAGAAAGCTTACATGAGAAGCTCTAATCTTCCATTCCAATTGATCATGCAGGTACTGCAAATATTAGTGAAAAGTTAAAGTTGCTAATCAACTAGATTTAAAGAGAACAAAATACTCTTACAAGAGAAGTTTTTCCCTGGCCATACTCATGATTGCTATAACTCACTTATTATAGATAATTCTTCAATGTAGATGCTTAACACCTAGTAAACCTCCATATGCACTTACAAAAACTAAAGAGAAAAGAAAAAGAAAGAAAAACAATCTCATGGGATATGAAATAGAAGGCCAGAAAATGAATAAGCAGTAGACTCCATTCTATACCCAACATTTCTCATTCTAAGCGTAAAAATGATGAAGGCCAGGGACCTAATACCTTCACATTGTTGGATATAGCAGATGCATTTACAACGCGTGGCAAAAATCCATATTCAGCCAGTAGGCCAAGCATGGATGACATGAAGACATATCTCTCATCCTCTGCCACCTGGAGAGAAGATAAGGTTCTTACTAAATGTATTAATCAGTGCTCTTAATTAGTAATACATAAGTAGCAAGTAAGATACTAAACATAGAGTCAAACAAAAACTAAAAATAATATAGTACTTCAAGAAATCACTAGCAACTTGGACCCAGGATTGTGATGATGAATCCAATTAATTTTAGATTTATCCAACATTAATGTTTTTGACAGAAATAGTTATCATGAGATATTTAAGATAAGAGGTCAAATGGGATAAAACTGGTAAAGCCCAACCTTAAAAGATGATATACATAAAGCAGCTAACAGGTTGTATGAGTAGCAAAAACCTTCCCTTTGGAAGGGACAGCATCATATTAACTTGCCAACAAGGACGGATGAAATAGAAATAAAACTAGATACAGTTATTAAGCATGTGAAAAGGAAAAGAGAATACATTGTCGCTATTCGTTGTAGGAGATGATCGAGTTCTCATTTTCTGTCAAATATATATAAAAACATGCTAATAGCTGAAAATGAAAATAAATTTTGGAAAAAGATAGCAAAATTATTTGGAAAAAAAACAAAAAATTGTTTTCAAACTCATAACATATTTGCTCTTTATTTTCCAAATTTATTTCATTTTTCAACCTTATAAATTTTTTATATGAACATGAAGTTAGAATATGCAATCTTAAAATAATTTTCTGTAACTAAGCTTATATTTTTTCAATTGAAATCCTATACTAATTCAGTTACTTGTCTTCCTTCACTTGATCTCTTGAAGAATTATGTTAGAATCATCGCATTGAACAGATTCGCTTAGTTTCGAGCCTTTGGGTTGTTTCACAAGAGGATAGGAATATTGCATTATAGAAAAATTCTCCATGTCTGACAGGACTAACATGGCCCAGTTGGGGGTAAATTCCATAGATTATCATTCCCCACCATGGTTCTACTACAATTTTAATAGCATAGCATTTGCCACAGAAATATAATATTATTTAAACAATTTTAATAGCATAGCATTTACCACAAAAATATAATATTATTTAAACCATTTTAATAGCATAGCATTTACCACAAAAATATAATATTATTTACGAGAACAAAAATGAATTGGAAAATGAAAATATAGACTACCTTCAAATCGTGAACCAATTTTAAATTCTCCTCAATATCACCTTTTCTACGAGCTAATTCATTTAATGCACATGAGACAGCTTCGTTTTGCTTCTCATGAATTGCCTACACCCAAAGTACTGTTATATTAGACCCTAGGTAATGCAAGATGAACTCTATGTTATCTGACTTGATAGATAGAACAACACACATATATACAGACTAAGGTGGAAACAAACCATTTGCAAGTCAGCTATTGTTCTCTCTAATGCATACTTTTCATTCAGTAACTGCATGTCCTGATACCATAAAGTATGATATATTCTTGAGCATGTTAGAAACATAAATGTAATAGTAATAATAATTACACTTGTAGAAAAAAGGTGGAAAAAAAAGTTTTCAGAGCAATAGAGAACCTTTAAACAGGCACCAGAAACTTGGTTACGGAGAATTTTTATCTCCTCTTCCAATGCTCTAGCTCTTGAATAAAGTTCCTGCTTGAGAGATTATTTCACATAAGAAAAGAACTTTTCTTTGAAACAAGAGGAGATTGTTACACACAATATTCGTGTGAGAGAATCATCTCAAGCTTCCACTTTTGAATTATTGTTTGAAAATAAGAGCTGTTACCATAGCCTCTTGATCTTGAACATTATTAAAATTTCCATCTCCGTTTACTTTCCTTGGGGCAACATGCGTTCCAAAGTCATGCCTAGAGAACAAAAAAGTAATAGCCACTTCAAATATTTGATATAGAATTGAATACCCCAAATTGACAGGCTAGCACATCCTTGTAGATTAAATTCAAATCATAAATTGCAGAAAGCACTTCTTTCCATTTAGCCAAGTTCATGTCATACCTGTTTTTCAAATCAAAGCTATGAGTCTGAACCCCATTGCTTTCAAACCCAGGCATCAAGTTGTTTTGAGAAGACATCAAATTGACAGCTGTAGTCCTCCTCAAGACACCCTCTTATCCAGTAGCACCTAATGTCTCCATTCTCAATTTGGAAATCTTAATTCATGCCTCATTTTTATTCCCATTCCCCACAATCATTGTCCAATTCAAACCAAAACTTTTGCATGATATGATTCTTACTTCCAAGTGTTCATGGAAACTAACAAGAAGTGAATGTAGACCTGAGTTGATGCCAGGAAATAATACTTCCTTGAGTAAATCAAAATCAAAGAAATGCACTCAAGATATAATATAACATGTTAGAACATAATAAAAACTAATATGTTTTTCCCTAAACTCAAACTTTTATGATTATTTCCTCAAAAGAAAGCTTAATTATTAAGCATTCACCTTTCTTATTTCTCATGAATCAGGCCAAGAAATTTTTGGTTCAAGCCTTAAACAGTTGAAATAATCCACCAAATTCATTTCTCATGGTATCAGGCCGAGAAATTTTGTTTTCAAACCTTGACAGCAACCCTCTCCTTATTACTCACCCTTCCTTTACCTATCATTTGAACTTTGAGATAGGCTTTTTTTTTTTTGAGTAAATCTTTGAGGCAGGCTTGACTTGCACTATCTTACTTCTCCCTATCGACTCTTCGCTCTTTCATCAGAATCTCACTTGTCTAAAGACATGTATTTCGACATAATATAAAATAGAATAAATTATAATTTGATATCATGTGGTTTTTATTTTTCAAAATTCAACGAATATCGCTTATTTTTAATAGTTTCAGTATTTATGATTTAACTGTTAGTTAATTAATATAATATTGTTAGATTGAAAACATGAACAGTTGAATTTTAAAAAATTTAACACATCAATGACTCAATTTAAACTTCTTATAATTATAATATAGAAAAATAAACCAAATAATAAAACTTAAAATGCAAAAAAAAAAAAATTGAAGTAAATAAAATCCATACTGGAAATCTTGTTGAAACTTGTATGTATTAAAACTAATAAAAATTTTAATTTAAAAAATGGATGCTTCAATATGAGTCTTCCACTAATCAAATCTTTTAAATTCAGAATGTTCATGTACTTACACCAGTGGTGCTATATTGCGTGACTAATGAACAAGGTACAAGGAAACCAATATAAATAAACTCAATCTAAAAAACTCCAAACCACAGAATATCAAAGTTCACTTTACTCTATAAAATAACAATCCTATAAGTTTAATTTTTTTGAATAATTAGTCACTCAACTCAATTATTTGCCATAATTATTTGACAGAAGATAATTCCCATAACCTGTTTTAGAGGTTTTCTCAGAACAATATATGTCCCATCATTAAATTGGAGGATGCAAAACTTAAATGGAATTTTTAAGCCTCATTGATGACATCTCACAAGTATTAGGAAGAGATTGATTGCTAAGGACCTCATGAAAAACTTGCCAACAATGGGCTGCCTAGTCAATTTTGGGATCAACATCCCTTGTAATAGTTTGTAGGAAGCAAACTTATTATTTGGCTCAATTCCACTAATCACACAAGTATGCCTAATCTAAACAAAAATAATTTTAATGGTTAGGACTGTGGACACTCTTGATTCAAGAGCAATTGGCCGGAACCAAAGTACCAAATAACAAACAGGGACATAATACCCATAATAAATTATCATACAAAACGGTATTAATCTAAGCTTTAAGAATCCAACCACAGTTTATATCCAGCATCTTTTCATAAGGTGCACAACTCAGTCAGCATTGTTACTGAATTTTGAGCCTAGCCACAAAATCTTAAATTTTGGCAGACTACCATAATACAAGGTATCCTCTACCTAATCACAAAGCAAGATAAATGGAGAAGTTAATCAACCACCAATAGAAGGGTCAAGTTTCAGGCTCATCACTATACAAGCACTTCAATGACACCCAAAGAAGCAAAAGCAAATATTCATAAAAATTAATTTCGCTTGCATTCGAATAAGCTAAAGATTTTAAACATATGACAAACAAACAGTTCTACTAGAGAACAAAAGAGTAACGTGTGATGTACCATAGACAATGAATACAGAGATAATCAAAAGCACTAAACAAGAAGGAAAAATTCAAATTGTACCATAAAGTAAACCGCAAGAAACACACACTAACTCTCTATGCATTCACACATATCGCTAAACATAAAACATTGACAGATATTGGATCACATATAAGTTAATCATGTAAAGAGCCACTCAATTGCAGGCACGTAGAAAGAGGACAAAGTCTCTTCTTGATTACCAACAAAAACGAAAACCGAAAGGAAATTCATCGCCGAGAAACTAAAATTATTAAGTTACTCATTGAGTTACAAGAATCTAACAGCAAAACACACTCCAGCCGAAGCTCCGAGTGAAGAGCAGAGAGCAATAAATTACTTAAAAGCTTCAGTTCAGTTGGCTTCCATTTTTCCTCTAATTGAAAAAGAAATGGAACAGGAGCAAAATAACAATCCCGATACATAAAAAGAAAAATTGTTACCAGAGATTAATTTGCAGAGGAGCAGAAGACTCGAAGAACGGGATCAACCGAGCTAATGAAATAACCAGAGACCAAACTGAGAAGCTAATTCTTCATGAATGTTCTACACGCAAGAGAGAAAGATAAAGGAATATGAAACGAAATTGAGTTCGTCAATGGAGTCAAACATTTAGTCGTCGTCGTCGTCGTCGAATTTTTCTCCTTTCTTGGTAAAGTAACAAAAGCATTAAAAAGTCAGCGGGTGTGAAAAGCGTGGCGGGGCAGCCAAAACACGAGAAACACACTCCGCAAAAATGCAATTTCTTCTAAATAAAATATGGAAATTTTGTTTTTATAAATTTTATTAGCTGTCTAAAATTTTTTTATTAATTTATTAAAATATAGTATGAACCAAAGTTAATTGGTAATCAAAGCGTATTTATAAGGTAATAGATTTAAGTAGGGCTATGTATTTTGTATATACATAGTTAAAAAGGTATGATATTATTAATTATATTATTCTTTGTATATATTACTAATTATTAAAATATATTAATTTCACAAAATATATAGTAGTCTAATAATAAGTTAATATCTTACTATGTTTTAAAAATTAATATCTTAAAAAAGAGTGTTAATAATTTTAAAATCATGGGTTAGGTGACAATATAATAGGTTGGATAAATATCTTAAGAATTTTTTCATATTTTTTAAAAAATATTATAAATTAATAATATTTTAAAATTGATGTTCTTAAATACGATTAAAAGAATGATTTTATTGGAAAAAAATATGGTACTGATACTTATTTATAAATTTCATATGAATTTATAAGTTATACGAATTATAAATTTTTAAATAACATAAATCGATATAGTATTTATATAAATAAACTAATGAAGTATTTGAATAATAAAATAATATTAATTTATTTACATATTTAACAGAAAATATATATAGTTCATATATAAGGACTTAAAACTTCAAAAAAAAAATTATAAATTTAATGCAAAAACGATTAATAAAGTTAGAGTTTACATTTTTTACACAATAATTTTGAATGTCTAATAAAATTATGAAAATATCTCTTCTAAAAAACAAACAAAAATTAAAGAAATGAAATGAAATGCGAATAACTAAACATTTTAAGACAATCTTCACTAGTACTTGAATGGAGTTTGAATGGTGAACTACTTACAATCTTCTTACTGATCCAAATCTGGATATTAATTCTTTTGATCTAAAAATAATTAATGAAATTGTGAGCTATACTACGTCAGTAAGAATATCACACTAATAACAGATACGGAATACTGAACATTGGTAAAAATCATAAAACCACTAATAAAATACTTAATTTAAGTAAATTAATTTAATATAAAAAAAAACCGTTTATTTCGTACTTACCGTAATGAGTTTTCCAAAAATAACCTATGAAAATCCATATTCATATCACTTTTCACTTTTACATATAAGAGAATAAGAAACAATAACTTTTCTTTCTAACTTGCTTACTGGTACCCCTAGAGGTCCATAAGGGTATTCCCCCTCCTCGTGAACCCAATATCCAATTTTAACAATTAACCGGTCATCCCCACACCTCGTCCAGTATGAGGGTAAACCATATACTCCAAACATTTCCGGTAAGGGACTTCTCAGCCTTATATAACTGAGGTAACAATTACGGTAGGGTTCTTTATGTACCAGGTCCGTCTGCCCTTTTCTTGGGTACCTAGTAAATCTTTCACATAAAGATTCTCATAGCAAACAACTAACAAACTCATACTAATATCTCATATCACATTCATATATCAATTAAACTGCATTAATACTGACAGTATATAAACGAAATAACCAAATAAGTTGATAAGACTATTGAAATATAAATTAAGAATAAGTGTCAAACGAAAATCAAGCTAGTAGAATAGTACAAAAAAAATAGACAAGAATTAAGACCATTGTGAGCTAACTGATTCCGACTCCACTAGTAACTTGTAATTATTTTTATAATTTTCTAATTTTTCATAAAAATACAAAATTATACAACATTAAACCTCAATTTACCGTAACGAAAAATAGAGTGAGATATCCTTACCTGAATTGATGTTTCAAAATATCGAGCTATTTATTACGCCTCTTAACGGGTACCGAATTCCCTAATTTTTTTTTGTATAATTCAAAACACTCATCACGTACCTAAAAATATCATAAAAATATAAAATCGGTGTCCAAAACTTATTTTGACAAATTTTACAGTTCCAGTATGATGATGTCACCGTGCTCTGGTGCAGGCTCTACTACCTACGGCGGCCGTTCGTCTTGACCTGCCCGATTTTGGTCAATTTTGGCTGATTTTGACTGATTTTTGCCGGTTTTGACCAATTTTGGCCGTATTCCTACAGAAAAACACGTTAGAGGCATCGGTTGGACGAAAAATCACAAAAAAGAAAAATCGAACCTACCGGCGGGGGACCTCCGAGTACGGCGGCTCCGCCGGTCCTCCTTCGCAGCTGAGTTCTTTCTTCAGCTATACTGCACATAAAAGATGGTGAACACAATGATCGAAAAATTATATGAACAGAAATTGGAAGATGCTCATTAAAGGAGTTTTGGGTTTTAATTGTCGCGGCTCTGTCGGATTTTGTCCACAGTTTATAGC